GAGAGAGATCATGATGAAATGATTGACATCCAAAAAAGCAACAGCCGTAGGTAGCCAAAGGAATGAAGACATGAAAAGTGAGCAAAAAGCTGAAAAATGATCAACAATGGCAAGTGGAGCACGATTCCCCGGTTGGATAAGGAATTCTCAACGAAGAGGAAAGAGGCACCCGTATCTAAGGTAGAGCTGCTTTCAATCAAAGAAGAATTCAGTGGTCAAATTCTTAGTGACCAATGCTCTACCGACATCACTGTTCTATTAACACTATAACATTTACAATAAAAATTCAGTGATTTTCTCATTTCCTTCTGTTGATTCAGGATCACACACTTTTATTAAGCAAGTGCGTTATCAAGTTGAGAAAATATTCGGTTTACTGAAACATTCACGATCCGACATTTAATTTTCAAGGCATAGTAGTACAAAGAGACCTACCTTCACTGAATACCATTTTGTGGGACCAACCAACACCTTTTTCCGAAGGGATGAAGCGAATCAGCATTTCCAGAATATAGTCACGAACCGCAGCGGAGAGGCGATAGCTATTGGTCGCACGCAACAGATGATTCAAAATCTCGAACACCGGTTTTTCGACTAAAGGATCTGAAAGGAAATGGATCGACAGAGACGGTGAAATCAGAACATAATCATTGGGTATCAAGAAGATCTCAGAATCCATTAGAGGAATGATGGAGTAGCCTATTTGGAAGAAGGCGCGATCGACTATTTGAATCCCATCATTAACTGATCACCGCATATCAACAGTTTAGATAAACAGCGACGAGTAAGCTGGATTACGTTATTGGGAGTTTGGATTTACAGTTAAAATTAAGGCCAATGGAGTTATAAAGCAAAATGATTCTGGGCACAATAGCTAAGCATACCATGCACATACGGTTATACTAATATTCCCTGAATACGCAGAACGCGACAATGATGAGAAAAAACTCAATTTGGACTACTCTAAGTCAGGCTGTAGCTGCTGCTTAGTCTGTGGGGAAGGGTATTCATGAAACTAAGTTCACTTTCAGTCTAAACAGCCATTAACCTCGAAATTGCATCCCATGGTTCTGGTTGCTGTCTATTTTGTCTGTCCATTTAGATGGAAAATTAGAGGTAAGATAGGAATGCTGAAAGCGGTCTTAAGGTGAATGAACTTAAAGAATTTTGGGAGATTAAAGTGGCTACGAGATTCAGGCGATACACGAGCACCATCGTGTGCACCACTCAGCGATATTTCTCAGTCTCGAACCATCACTTAAGCTTATCTCGAAGTCCTCACCCAGGAACGCAAACAAGAATTATATGACCGAGTCTCCTGGATAGAGTTTTCATACCCTCATGTTAGGTCTTAGTTTGATCGCCCATGAGTTTATTCCATTCATTGTCTGCCTCCACAAACTTCGCTCTCCATAGCAACCTACTAATCGATCTGTGTGCCACATGCCCCGGTTAACACAATCTACGGAGGTCAACCACTTGCTCCGGTGACCGACGGCGATTACCTAAAACGCTGTACCTAAACTAAGCATTTATTGTCTCGTTGTCCGACCAGACTCGTGCAATGTGGTGTACGAATATTGACTATCTACCTTCATCTCGTTTTTTACTGGATAGGTCTCTGCACCATTCAATACTAATTCTGTTACCTCCGCAGTTAGAGTGAGATTGAGCGCTGGACTAAACCAGTCCTGTAGCAACAACATATCACACTTTGAAGTTGCAAAACGAGTATCATACATGATTACACTAGCATTCAAACCATCCCGAAAAGTTTGTCATTCATCTGCATCCTCATTTAGAGATGAAATGTCATCTGCATAATCTAGATCAAATAACTCCCCACCTGGAACTAAATCGATGTTGCTATGCTCACGCGAGGTCAGGGATGTTTTCAGAAACAGATCAATTACAAAGTTGAATGAAAAACGAGAGAGAGATAAGGCAAACCTGAAGAATACCGCTACCTGTGAACTAGGGCAACAAAGAGATGTTAGTTCAAACTCGACGTCGGATATTTCTCCTATTATTGAAATAAACGTCTCAGTACACTCTTTAAGGAGAGAGTGCCAGAGTATAGAGCGGTTGACTCGGTCGATAGCCCCTTTCAGATCGAGGAAGATAGAAATGATGTATCTACCAATTTACGAAAAGTGAGAATGTGGTCCATGCAATTTCGACAATGTTTAAAACCAGCCTGATTCTCAAAAGTGCACCCTTCACAAGCACTGATGAGGTCATCTCGGCTGATGATGAAACGTGTGCAAACAAACTGCCAAGCTCGGCGAACAGGTGGAATGAAACTCTTCACGTGCGGCAGGCAATCGTGGAGTATAGTACTACCGAGAGGATTATAGACCATGTTGAGCAAACTAATTCCTCTATGGTTTTCACACGAGGGCCTATCGCTTTTCTTGTAAATCGGTAAGATGACCGACTCATACCATTCACTCGGAATGTGTTCACTCTCTCATATTGAGCCCAGTAGTTTCGTCAACTCCAAGATCAAGCCAACGGGGACAAACCACCCAGCTCTGACACCATTTTAGATAAATTATTTCTCTGGGCAAACTTGATTTTAGATAAGGACTGATATCAACTTCCCAGTTGAAGCTTCGATTGGGGGGGGTAGGTGTGCGTTGAACTAAACCTTAAAATGTTCTGCCCGTCACTCAAGTCGGTGTTGCTTAATATGAATGAGTGTGTCATCGAACTTCCTAATTAACTTACATATAATCACTTCCCTTGGACCCGTACGTCTAACCAGAGGGAAAAGATTGCGACTGTCATCAAGGTAGACCCGATCATTGCATTTAATGCCTAAATGGTGTAGATATTCTTTCATCCTGGTAACTAACATCCCATCAGCTTTTGGACCGCTTTGGGATACAAGCCAGGATGAGACTATGAATGGGATACATTTCCCTACGAGAAAGCGATGATAATTGGAACGAGGTGTAATATTCGGACGGTAGTGTAGTTCACGGAGTACAGTGTTATTAAAGTAGGGTTGCAGTGGTGGAGGGGATACTGAAAACTGGATTGAACTGATGACTATACCCCATTTGGCCAGTTGTTCAACTGGTTTGGGGAAATCCAAGATAAAAATCCCCAAATAACTCGATAATAGCACCGTGTTGCTGATTAAAACAGTGAATGGTTCCGAGTAAATCAAACGCTAATTCGCTCGATTAGAAAGAGTAAAATCCATTAAAAAGTGTAGGATGCAACTGAAACGAAGTCTGGTGGTGGAAAAAACGTCATGAAAGAGACCTGTTTCATTTGTTGTATTTTCAGGCAAAATAGGGCAACTACCATGTACGTAAACTCAATATTTAAAAAAATCCTGAACAATATTTTTCCGCTGTCGAAATTTACACTCGCCCAATGAAGTAATGTATGCTCTTTGGACTGTCTTAGTCATATGTAATCAGCTTCATACGGGCTGCTATCACACTCTGTGCGCTCAAATTGAGGGTTAGAGCTTACAGTCGATGCGAGATAGGTTAAAGCTGTGGGAAACGACAAGTCAGTAACGCTCCAGTTCCGAAAGTGCATTCAATGTTGGATTGGTTGCATGTGCTGACTGACCCACGGAATTGAACGATATGACAGAAGAAAACGGTATGCTAGCAGGGCCGAATAAACAAATGACCTTCACAATCACCGATCGATCGATAGATGGAACGTAAACAAATGCCAATGGGACAATGTATTCACATGCACAAAATTGTGTACCCGTAAATAAGAATCCGATTTGCTACCCATTCTCTCTCCCATTTTCGCGTCATCATCGAGTTGCTTTTAAAATTTGTTAGTGAGATCTCAACACAGCGCACCACTTGTTCAGATCAGCGAATAATTCATAAATCTTCCAGTGCCGGACTAACCTTAAGGCAATTGAAGAGCTGACGTGAAGATGAATAAGTAGAAACACAAAATTCAGCCATTCAAGAGACATCAAAATGACTGCAGCTATAGTATCCTTTTTTCATTTTTACTCCTTTTTGCTGAATATACAAAGACAATCTCCAGGAAGGGGGAAGCGGCCAATCAAATTGCTGCCATACAACACACAGAATGAGGAAGTTAGGCAACAGTGATGGGATTCGAGCACACGTCCTTTGGGATGATAATCTGGTGACGTTACCACTGGGCCACCAACACCCATGTGAATTGATAGTGTGCTGATCTCATTGTGTCTTCTAGAAATAAACTTCATGTTAAGCAGCCCATTGTATCATCGTTCGATTTACGTCGCTGACGTTTAAATCTCACCGCATTGGCAACATGATGCATGAAGACAAGCAAATATACTTTACTTCCTACTAGAAAAACTTGCAGTTTCCAGAAAGTTTGACGGTAATTACATGTGAATCGTAAGCATTGAAAACTGCCCAGAAACGTAGAGACAAACTTACTAATTTTATACTTGGGATATGCGACCGGAGCAACTTTGGCGCTCAGCTTTTGTCCATCAGCGGCATCCGCCTCTTTGGCTTGGTGATAGGCCTTTAATTGTGTTAAACCTTCGAGTAGCGAATTCAGGAACCGACAGATTTCAGCCGATTCGTCAGTACGACGAGAAAAAATGCGATCCACAAAGTACTGTGCAGTCAATCGTTCCAAAACGACTAGACACTACGCGAGGGGTGTTGCACGAAAGCGGACGGAGGGTGAGGAAAGATGGAGAGAGAAGGAATTAGCCTTGGGATAATCGTCAATGGAAACTATGTTCCTTCGTACATTTAGTTAATCGGTGCTGAATAGAGATCATTTGAAAATTACCACACTAAATTATCAAGGGCAAATTTGGTACTCGACATTAAAATTGAGAATCATCCATGAAAAAGACCATATGTGGTGAAACTGTACCATTATTTTAGTAAACCAGTAGATCTATTTACTGTTGTAACAATCTAAAAATCTCCCATTTTAGTTGGTTGCTTTCGGCTTACAGCAACTATTTTGCGAAGTATTCCCCTGTTGGTCACGCCTCATGAACAAAACGAGATGCGTGTCATCGTTTAATACAAAAATTGCGTTACAGCGGTTTCAGTATTTACAACCACGCACCTTCATGCGATGGTTTTGGTTTCTGTCCCTTGACTGTATATTTGGATGAAGTCATCCGTTTAATTACAGCAAAGAAACTTGTGCAAAACAATTTAGATAAGAACCCATTTGTTGACCTTGATTTTGAATAAAAGTTGTAAGTGGTTACAAATACCGACAGAGATGGAGTTCCGAAGACTGAAAGGAAGACGTTTAACATCTGAGGACAATATATTAATAAGGTTGACTGTCTGTCCGTGACTAAGAAAGGGTATGGTGAGGAGAAGTGCCAAATCGAGTCCTGAAGAAGAAAAATCAAAATAGCAAAGGTAGAAAAGAGATAATAAAGCAAATTTTCGGCGATGACAGACTGACTACAGAAGAGATTTATGGCACCGGACAGTATTGGAATGAACCCGATTAAAAAGGGGAAGAACAGAATACGAAGGTCCAAAGTTCGAGCGCATTGGAGTTTCGTGAAAAAGGTGAGCGGACGTAAAGAAGCTCATGGCGCCGAATAGGGAATCAAAGTTGTGCTAAGCACGAGTGACAAGTGTGCATATAAATGGAACATAGAAGGATTTATGGGTAAACTCAGGACAGACAAAGAAGCTGTACAACAAAGGAGGAAGAAGTAAGCATTCAATAGGGGAGGGTAAGAGATAAAACTAATGGAAACTGAAAAGAGAAAAGTTTGAGAACTATGGAAACGGTGTTTGACTGGACTCCTTCAGGTGATGTGTATAAAATCGGGGGCAAGTGATGCACCAATGAAATGAGGATCGTAATTGGTGTAGGTTGTGGCTTGGTGGATAGTGAACTAAGAAGAAGAATACGGATAGACGTCTTCGGCGAAACAATGAATGTGATCAGGTATTACGGACAAAAGAGAATTTACAAACAGAAGAGGATGGATAAAAATAAACAACATTAAGGAACACCAGTATTCACAGGGAACGACGGAGATTAGACCCGACTGACTGGGACGGATATGGCTAGCATGAGAACATTGCAGTCACGATAAGGGGGACAGGTGAAATCTTAAAGTTGGTCGTTTTGAGGCAAGACTTTCGTGCCAAGCTCAGTCGAAGGTCTTCGAAATGCAGAGCGGACCAAGAGTTTCTCCGTGGTTAGGTCATCCGTGGAACGAGAGCGAAACATATTGCTAGGGTTACTTAGCACACCAGGTTCGAGGAACAGAACAGATGATGGAAGATAGCAGTTTCATAAAATTTGGAAATTATAGATGTGAGGTTGATGAGGCGCAAAGTCGGCTACTAACCGGGATTGAGTCGACAGGTGAACGCTCGGCCTTGACACTTAGCACAATCTCGATACTAACAATACCGCGAGCTTCGGATGCCGATACGCCTGACACATGGAGAGTGTAGCGTCAGGATGAAGCTGGATCTGAAGATCACAAGGTGATGGTTAAGGTAGGGTCTTGTATACGTGTTTCGGAGACACGGCATACATCTAAATTAAAAGTTTCAAGGGTTCTAGCTAAGGCAACTTGTTGACCGATCTGATAGTGTGCGAACATCAAATGCGGATAAGTGAAAAGAAGATTCTGGTTTAAAAAATCTGATAGCTTCTGGGTGTTTGACCTTATTAGTTGAACGGGGAGTGATATCCCAAGGGTGGTGCAAACATGAGGCATCTCGTACGATTTGAGACAAAGGCTTCTGCCTTTTTATGGGATTCAAAAACCAGAGCCAGATGAACTGCAAATGCGAGGAGGGTTGGAAGAGAAAAAATGGTGGGAAACTGCGAATTCGATGGACCAGAGTGTTTGATCTCCCATGGAGAGGGAAACCAGGCGCTTCGGCTTATGAAGAATAAATTTCTTAGCTCCCGTAACCGGTGTATTGTTGTCTTGGAGACCTCCAATAAATGGTCAGCTTCTAAGAATCCCATGGGAACATTCAGATTTGTGGCTATCGCAGATGAACTAAGCACTAAAGAGCTACAGATCTCTACTGTAGAATGGTTGGTAGCTTAAAATCAGCATTGATAAGACTGAAGTTTCGAATTGAGCCATTTAGAGTGACTATTCTGAGCCTCCGATATACTGATGCAACGGCGTGGTAAGCGAGGATTCGCTTTCGATTAGCATGAAACGGTAGCGGGACGTTGGGTTAGAAGAGCGGTAACAAGATAATAGTGCTTGAATTCCGTGAATCATAGCATTTAGGCGAGCATAGCTAAACTACACCGGTCACGTCGATTTGTTGGATTTGGAAAATGTGGAGTGAAAACGTGCATGCCTCGAACAACAATCTCACCGCATTTGCAAACAGAGGCGGAGATACCGCGTTTAACGCGATAGCTATTCCAGGGTTTGCAGCCGAAAAGTTACTGGAAACCATCCCGGTAGGCTGAGCCGTATCTTCAGGTGTGCCCGAGTTAGGCGGTATAATGAAGCAATGGTTTGATGAGCCAAGGGAAGAGGGAATTGATGTTGGGG